TGATGTAGGATGAGATCTAATGTAGACATTTCTATGAAAGTCATGACAAAGTTTGCCCATGCCCCTTCTGAATACTCGAAGAGATGCAAAAGAGAGTAAACGTTAAAGAAAAGACTGTGTTGAGGAGTACCATGGAGATAGTAAATGAAGTGTTTAACATCGACCCAATATTGTTGCAAATGGAGTACATGTTTCGAGCATAATAGTTGACGTCTTGAGAAATGTCTGGACTAGTGAACTAAATGTATTAAAGAGTATCCATAATTTGACGATAAAGAGTTCCATCCGCGAAATAACTAGTGTATTCATATGGTGAACTAGTGGTAGCTAAGGTGGAAATGAGATTGGCATGAGTCATCTTGACTCGTTAGGGAATATCGTGCACATATTTTCGTAATGAGAGAAGCAAGCCTTTGGGTAGGGATGACAATGGGTCGGGTTATTCCAAACCCAAACCCGAACATGGGTTTATCCATTAAAAAATCAGGATAAAACCCACTGGGTTTCGAAAACTCAAACCCAACCAAACCTGCTGGGTACCTGTGGTTTCATGGGTACCCATGGGTTCATGTACAAAGATGCAATTACACTAGTTTTCACTACTATTGTCTACTACATACACACTAACTCACAAATCATTCATACTAATTGTTCAATATTAAAGATAAACATCCACAAACAATATGATTAAATATGTAGTCAAAATCGCGTTTTAAAACTTAAAAACTTACGATTTTACGTTTCTAGGTCACTAAAATGCTTCTACACAAAATCTAAGTTTTTATAACTTATGTAGTTAAAAAATCCGCTTTAAAACTTACAAACTTATGATTTTACGCTTCTAGATAACCAAAACGTTTCTATGTAGAAACTCGCATTTGACTAAATTGATTAATCAAACATGTGATAATTAATTTGGAAATTATAGTTAATTGGTTAAGAGTTTCGTGGGTCGTGGGGGGTATTGACTTGGGTGCGGGTATCCACTGGTTGGATTTGGCTAAACCCAAACCCAGCCCGCAAAAAGTATAACGGGTTTAAACCCAAACCCGGCCCGCAATCCTTCAAAGAAGGTTTTACCCACGTTGACTGGGTTGGGTCGGGTAGGGTATCCGCACATTTGGGTTCTATTGCCATCCCTACCTTTGGGCGACCAAATTACTCCTATGCCAAGAAATAGGACAAGTGCCCTAAACAACAAACCTAAAAGCATCACACAAGTAAAAAAGACGAGCTTGCAACACAGGAGCTTCAATTTCGGTTATCAAAATAACATCAACATAGATAAACATATTGAGCCAAAGAGGAAAAGACCGTAACACTAGGTCGTGGAGCCTACTTTAGGGCATAAGAGACTTCTAGCGTGACAAATATGAGAAGGCTAATCTAGATTGACAATTTGGAGGGGGGGGGGTATTTCATGAAAAAAAAAATTCTTCATTCATAATACAATGAAGAAAATATTTGGCACTAGCCAACTTTGAGGAACAGGCTGAAGGTTCCCTTAAATCAAAACATGGGTGTTGCTAAAATATGTGATCTACCAAGCATGCTTCATGAATCCATATGACTTGGTTTTGATGCAAAAAATCCACTTGTAGGAGTTGACATTCAACTCCTTGGATGTAGGAACCAAGCTCCATGTTTAGTTTCAAATAAGAGAATTGTACTCTTCAATCCTTGTTGCTCACCATTAGGGGGGTCTTAGAGAGCTTGGCGAGGTGTCGGTGGAATATAAAGTAATATTGACGGGAAAGTGAAGATAAAGGTTTTGGGCTTGAGGTTTCCGGTTTAACAGTGATTGATCACATTATGGGATGTTGGAGGGTGGGTGCAGAGTCGCGAAGAGGAAGGAGCTGTAATCTATTGTTAATTGGAAAACGTTTGTTTGCCAATAATAGGGACCTAAGGTTTCCATTCAAAATGAATAAAGATTGGCAATTTCACAATCCAAATAGTAGTACTCCAATTCAAGCACAAGATCGTTAAGTACACATTCAAATTCATCAAGTAGGGATTATAGAATCAGTAATTTGATATACAATAGCCATGACCAAGAACATCCAATGATGATCCAAAATTTCGCAATTAGGTACCAAATTGAATTGAAAGCGAAATCAACGATTTATACTCCCCAAATCAATCTAATAATAATGGATATCGACCTTAAATTCTTCAATGAAGAAAAATGTGAAGTAAAGCAAATAGTTGATGTAGAGAGAACGTGACGAGGTGTGATGTTGGTCAAGACTATCGTGGTTATGTGAGGCTAATTTTTGAATGGTATTCGATTTCCTTCGGAATACACATATCGTATTGTCTAGGGAAGCTACGAAGCACATAATCACTTCTTCATGGAAATTGAAAATATGTAACCCACCCCTTTGAAATTGAAATTCCCACATTTCCTCTTTTTATCCGAGATATATCTCTCCCTCTTTCCTCTCCTTTCTAACCTTCTCAAGTGATCCTTTTCCTCTTGATTCCAGGCAATTTTATTCAACAATGACGCCTTCTTCTTCTTCTTCATTTATCTTTGACTGCCTTGTCAAGTCATGTTGTCTTCTCATGGAATCAGATCTCGATGCTCAAGGAAATTTCAACTTGACGCAAAGAAAAACTGGAAATCCGATTTTGTGCTTGAACTCCTTAGATCCCACAATTTCACATATGCCCTCATATCCACCTTGATTGAGAATTGATTCGAGGGTATTTTCAATTGTTGAAGAATTCAACAACGACACATTCTTTCAACATACGGCAAAAATTGATTCATGAGTAAATAACTTCCTAAATTAATTCTTTCCAATCCCTTACTTTACAATAGCTCTTTAGATTCTTACATTAGCCCATCCATTGAGTATATGTTCTTGCTTCACGGTAGTTCCGCGCAAATCATGTCCAGAGTTAAGCATTCTTCGTGGACATTGAGTTATAATTTGAAGGCAGACATGCAACCAAATATATACTTCTTGTTTGGTGAAGGAGTATTGTGAACCTGATTTATGCACATCCAAGATTCATATTCATTAAGCCTTCCAAAAATACCCAAGCTTTGACTACTTATAAGAAGTTGGGGGTTGAACCCAAATTGTGAATGTTTATGCAAGCCCTGAGATTTTCACTATCAATGAGTGATGACAACAACAATGGAGCTAATCAAGAGTATTGGATGGAGAGTTGCAAGGTCGGAGGTATTTACAAGCCTACGATTGAGAGGTTCGAGGGGTAGATGGCTTTTTATTGATGTTTAGTGTTGTGTTGTTGTGGTTGTGTTAATGTGATGTTGTTGTTGTTATTGTTGTTGTTGTCGTGCTTTTGTTGTTGTATTGTCCTCATGTATTATGTTTTTTTTTATTGTTGAAATAAGAGCAGAAGTAGGCACGAATGAGAGTTAAGTTGGGAGAGTTGTAGGCTGGAAGGCTGCTAGTAGTGATAGTTCGAACGCGAGGTTAGAGTTTTTGACAATCGATTTTGAAGATAATCGTGCTTTGTACTCAAAACATTTTTATTTCAATAAAAATTTGGTTGTATTGGATACTCGTGCTTTAACCAAACTTCACACTATCAACTCTCACATTATTGAACCCATTGCGAATTTTGGAATTTTGGCCATTTTCCATATGACATGTAACACCTTAGGCGAATCCCACATCGACAAAGCATGGGAGAGATCCATGGTTCATAAGTAAGAAACCGACATTAACTGACAAGATGTGTTTTGGGGTGAAGTTGAGGAGTTCTTGTGAGAACTCCGAAGTTAAGCGTGCCCAATGTGGAGTACAATAAGGATGGGTGACCTTATGGGAAGTCACATTGAATTGCACCCCAAGTTGAAAAACCGTGAGGGTCGAGGCTCGAAGCGGACAATATCTTCGTCGGGAAAAAGTTCGGGATGTTACAAGTGGTATCAAAGCCTCTCTCCGTCCCTCTTGAACGATGGCGGGGCAAACCTCAACGAGGACGTTGAGTCCCAAACGGGGGGTGTATAACACCTTAGGCTAATCCCACATCGACAAAGCACGGGAGAGATCCATGGTTCATAAGTAAGAAACCGACATTAACTGACAAGATGCGTTTTGGGGTGAAATGAGGGGAGTTATTGTGAGAACTCCGAAGTTAAATGTGCTCTGTGTGGAGTACAACAAGGATGGGTGACCTTATGGGAAGTCACATTGAATTGCACCCCAAGTTGAAAAACCGTGAAAGTCGAGGGCCGAATCGACAATATTTTTGTTCAAAAAAATGTTCGGAATGTTACATAAAACTTTTCAGATTTTTTATAGCGTGCAAATCAATATCAGTTCTCTCATTTTCAGAACTAGACAACCAAACCAGCCCTCAATATCCAGCACACACTCCCATAAAAAAAAATATATATCCAGCACACACAATTTCCAAACAGTATGAACCGTCCTTACCATAAGGCTTAGATTTGTTGAAATCATAAACACACTTATTATAAACACACTCTAATATATAAAGGAAACGAATTAGATAAATTTTAATTTGTTGTAAAATAATAACCAACCGGGTCTGCCAGCTTTCGGTGCTTCAAAAGAATGAAAGAAGTAAATGCTGGCATTTTTTTCTTTTGGTAAACAGTAAATGCTGCATTTAATTGCACGAACTTAGGTCCTCCTCTTCTTCTCCCACTCCAGGCCTCCACGCTGCTAAACCCAATTCAACACAAAGCCCAAGCGCCCCACACGTTCGCCGCTTTTAATATTACAAAACCAAACTGAATCAGAAAATATTTAACAATAGAAAAGAAGAATTTGAAGATCCATTCTCTCGTTTCCAAGTATCCAACAGTAGCCTCTGTTTCTCGCTCACCTCCCTTCTCTATATATAACTAATCACCCACTGTCACAAGATCTTCATCCCTTATTCACACTTCACTTCCGTTTCCTCTGCCACCTAAAAAAAAGAAAAAAACCTAACCAAACAAGATCCTTCTCCAATCAATTCTTCTTCTTCTGGCTTCTTTTTCTTTCACCATGTCTCTGAAGCTTCTTCTCATTCTTCTCTTCGCCCTGACCTCCATCGCGGCGGCTCAATCCGCCACCGCGGCCGAACCCAGCAAGGAAACAAGCCATCTCCCCAAGCCTACTTCCGATCCGCCGGCGGCAGAGCCGACGGTTGGAGAAACAAGGGAAGGTGCAGGGGCAGGGGAGGGCGAGGGGCAGAGGAAAAAGCACATTGACAAGTCGGTGGCCGGCGGGGGAGTTATAATCGGCGGCCTTCTCACCGCCGTGTGTATGGCGGTCTTCTGTTACATACGCGTGACAAGGAAGAGAGACGACGAGCTGCCGATGTTTGTGAACGGGAAATCGACGGATGCTCTGGCTTTGGAACGACAGTCGGTTACGTCATCCCCTTCTTCTCACTGATCATTCTTTTCTCTTATTCTAATCCCTTTGGTTGATTGGTTATACGATACTAATTACGTAGTTATTACCTGGGCTTGAAGATTATGAGCATTAGTTAGATCTGTTTTGTAAGGGTGATTCTTTTATTGTCATGTCCTGTGTAATATTTCTTTTGTGAATGTAAATACAACTATTAAGATTACTGAGTATTGTACTGATGGATCATGCTGGTTCAACCTGAAATGTTGAAGGAGCTTGGTTGGTGAAGTGGGTTATAGAGTTCCAACGTTTTAACCTTCCCCATTAGCACTTCCAGTTCTGGAGATTAACTAGTAATCAAGCAAGGATCGGTCCAAAAAGTCGGATAACGGACTCGTGCTGTTATTGGAGGACTTAACAAGAGAAGGAAGTAGAGGATATAGAAAAGTCAAGTTTTGAAAATTGATTGTATCACAACTTTGTCCTAGATCCAGCTTTCCTTCGTTTAAATAGTGAAATGATCGCCGAACTATGATGGTTACTGTGGTAACTCAGCTCAAAAACTTTAAACAAATAATAATTAGCTCGTTATATCTTGCCTTTAGTAACCAAATAATCACCCCATATTGGGGGTGAAAAAACAATGTGATTTCGTCAATCGCCCTGAATAATGCAATTAATCGCAACCAAATAAGAAAAATTTGCCAACAATAACTGCAACGTAAACGGTTGTCGGTTAACCTCTAACAGCAAATCACGATTAGTAATTATTTGGAATTAACCTCAGTAGTGAAACTGGGTCGACTTCGTCTTTTTAAATTGCTCTTGAGGACCGAGGAGGACGAAGGCTAGAAGTGGTAGTCGTGATATCGTTTTGAGCAAGGTTGTCAACCCGTGGGTCGATCCGGACTCGGTCGACCTAGTGGGTTAAGGGTTAATGGGTCACCCGGTATAGCCGGGTTTAGTCCAAAAATATAAAAGAGTCATTATATTGTATTTATCTTGAATCCAACATAAAAAAATACAACATTATTTAAACTCCAACACACTTAAATAACATCATCTTAAATTCAACATAGTAAAAATTCAATGACACTTCGGAACGAGCAACCCGTTGACTCGCTGGAACGGGCCAACCGCCCAGGTTTTCCCAGGTTTCCCCGGTTTGACCATTTCCGGACTAACTCTGAAATGGGTTGTTCTAACCCGTTTTCAAGGGCAGGTCCGGGTTAAGCCGCGTCAACCTGCGGGTTGACAACCTTGATTTGGAGCTTTGGAGGCCGGAAGGGCCAAGTTGGGTAACTCATGCCTGATTGGTGGACTAGGCGTTAGCACTAGGTCGGTTGGGTAGGTAGTTGGGCTGAGCTTGCTGTGATTGATGTTTTACCGCTGTTAGTTATTCGAATCACTTTTTATTCAGTATAGTTAGTAGTTAGTCCTTTAATTCAAAATGATCATTTCTACAAACCACAACGGTAAAAGACCCTCATTTAAAAATTTAGCGTTTAGCCGCTAATCGTACTTATATTATGCAGTTGTGATCTAACCGCAAAACTGTAACCGTTTTCCATCCCTTACTCCATACCTAATTCGGTGCATTTTTGTGAGTGTTGAAGCTGAGCCATTCCACAAAGGATTGGCACGCCATTTGATATGTGATGCATCATTGACTCAACCATTGACCATGCAAGAACCAGCCTCACCTTCTCAATACGGGACGACTCCTTCGTTCTTCTTTTTATTCTTTAGTTTCATCAGGTCTCATTTCAATATGGTAACCCAGACCTTCAAAAAGTTATTGTTGAGATTTTTAGTGGTGTGAATGAGAATTAAAAGGAAACAGCTAAGAGAAACTCTTGAAATACCATATTGGTTATATATAGGAAAGAGGCCTTGGATTCAATCAATTGTTTTGATGAAATCTTTTGGTAATTAGTCAAATTGGTTTGTGTAACCAACCATACCAAATTTATTTGAACTAAACCGATGTGACGGTTGGAGTCCAACCGATCCAACTATCATGGGCCGAATCGATGCAATGGTACATTAATTTAAAATGAACCAATGTGTTGGTTGGGATGTAACCACCCACCCGAAGCGTCACATCCCTTCACACACACCCCTTCATTTTCTATAAATAGCACCAACACTCTCCGTTTTCATACGCGAATTTTTCCTAAAAGGTTTTCAACCGAAAGAAAGAAAATAGTTTTCTTTTTCATTTCATTTTCCTCTCTACAAACAGATAAAAGTAAACATAGTCGCGTGACTTCTCGCCGTTCGTTGCGTTCGCTGGTTTCTGTGATTTCAAGTACCGTTACACCATAAAAGGTACGTCGGTTCTATCCTGTGAGGAATAGTTCTATTAACCTTGGGTACCGTAGAGGGGAACTAAATTCCTTAAGAAGAAATAGTGAATTCGATTGGATCGGGCTGTGTCTATGCATGTTTTGACGAGTCTTGATTTCTTTATGTTACTTGTGTTGCAAGAAACACGGTATACGTGAACATATCCGCAACAATGATTCTCATTGTATTGAATGATACTAGATTCCTCAGATAAAAAGAAATATATGAATAAGCTCGATTAATACTAAGGACAAAGTGAATTTATTATCGATTGCTATTGCAATTGTTGAAAGAGATTTTTTTTAGTTTTGTGTTGCATCAAGAATAAGTTACGAAGTCGAATAGATGATTACGACGACATTTTTGAATTCTGTCTAGTATGATATATTGAAAATAATTCATTGTAACATTGCTATAGCTTGTTATAATTTGTACTAGTTTGATATTTTGTTATTGGATTTTTTTTTGAATTATGTAGATAATTTAATTTCCTGTGGAGTTAAGTGGCGTGTTGGGTGCTGTTCTGGAAGAGATTGGCCATTATTTGCGTGCTCAGCCTGGTTTTAGTGTGCGTTTTGTAGGTCGGGAGAACAATAGGGTAGCTCATTTGGTAGCTAGGAAAGCCCTTTCTTTGTACCCGACTATGAGTCGCTTTTTTGATTTTCAGGTCTGGCTGGTTTCCATGGTGTAACTGCCTATTTTTTGATCAATCTATGATATCTTTAAAAAAAAAAAAGAGCGGCGTGAGCACTTTGTTTTTTTTGTTACAAATGGTAACATCAATTACCCCGGTTTGTCACGCATTAAAATTTAGTAACCATTAATAGATGACCAGTCAGACATTGAACCCGTTCCTACCGCTAATCTAGCGGCCGGCTCACATATCCAGCCAAAAGCTTTAAACAAAAGCAACGCTACCCTTCCACCGCCACTAAATCTAATCACTCGTGCAGATCTTCCCTTCCACCGTCCCTGTCCCTGTCCATTCGTTCTTTAAATGAAAAAGAAAGCATTCTGGCAACTGTCAAATTATTTAATTCGATCAGGTATGATGCGGTGAGGTCCTTCACTCCCGACCTCTCTCCTCTTCTGTTAAGTTTTCGCCGGTCAAGTTGACAACTGGGGAAACGAGAATTAGTAATAAACTACTAGCAAATAAACGATTGATGAAAACTACAAAGTCGTGAAATAGATTTTGATCGCACAACTCATGCCCAAAATTTGGGGAATTAAGTTCTAGAATTTAGTTTTTCAAGATTATAATATAGTATCATATCTAAGATTCAAGCCAATTAAAATATTTTTCAAAAAAAAAAAGTCAATTAAGATATATATCCTAAATTTATCCCGAATACGATAGAAGTCCGCACGTATATTATCACTGTCATATAAATAAAAGTAATGTCTATTTCTTATCCAAACCTTTTTTCATATTCTTTTATATTATCCACACATATTAAAATGCTATTAATTAGCCAAATCTTTCGTAATGCATCAAAATATTAGCCTTTTTTACATCATTATTAATAATTTTGTAACTATTTTCTTAGTTAAAATACTAAATTTTTGTAATGTTGATTTTCATGTGTCTCTACCAAGTCAGTATCATGTTGTCAAATCAATATTACTAACAAAATTTCTAACTGAAAGTTAACATTTGATTAATTAATAAAATTTTTTAATATGTTTGAACAATATAAAAAAATCTGAAAAAAAATTTGGATAAAAAATAGATATTACCTTACAAATGACAACAACGAAATATTCCATATTAGCAATAATAAATGTTTTGCCGGCTGGCTCCATGCGTGCTAATCCATCCTATCCTGATCTGCTCTACAGTTTCATGGCTCCATGGTTTGGATATAGCTGTTGCTGACGGCAGAGGCAGATTGGAAGAGTAAATGTGTTCAGGTTCGGGCTGAACTGAAGGGACCAAATTTGACTTTGGTTTTTGGTGCCAGACTTGCTTTGACTTTGGGCGCCAACCCAACCGACCGACCCACGAAATTGGTTAAGGGAAGTCGAGCGTCAGCTACTTGAATTAAATTGGGAGGCGGATGGATTTTGGAAGGTTGTGTTGTTGTTTTCTTGATTTGGTTTGCGCGTTTCAATTATATTATTATTATTATTCTCTATAAAAAACAAGGGTAAATGACACATTTGGTCACTGAAATTATTAAATTGTGTCATGTTTAGTTACTAGAAAAAATTAATATCAATTTTGGTCACTCGAATTACCGAAACTGGTCAAATTTAGTCACTCTCCCGTCAGTTTCCGTCCAACTCCATTAATGTAGTTGGACGGAAACTTTTGGGAGAGTGACTAAATGTGACATGTTTCAGTAATCCGAGTGACTAAATGTGACATTTTTCAATAATTCGAGTGACCGGAGTTGGACAGAGGCTACAGAAAAGTGACCAAATGTGACCTGTTTCAGTAATTCGAGTGACCAAAATTGATATTAAATTTTTCTAGTGACTAAATATGACACGATTTAGTAATCTCGGTGACCAAATGTGTCATTTACCCAAAAAACAAGTAACCAAGTTACTATTGCATAGTCTTCGATTATAAGGGGTGGTCATTTATAATTGACCAAAGTTTGGAAATTTTTTATGCCATTAAGGTATTAATTAATTAACTTACTACAATTGAACCCAAATTGAACCCAAATCAATGGTTGTTCGTC